CTGATGCATTCTCCATGGTACAACAGCTACAACTACCACTACATGGAAGGAGAAACCATGAGAGTTATGTACGAGCCGTGGTTTGTCAAATACAAAGTCGACGTCGTGTTTGCTGGCCATGTACACACGCCTATGAACGATCGGTATATCGCATTATATATATATTTGTTTTGATTCACATTCTCCCCCAACATCAGTTTCTTATACATGTATATATATATATATTTGTATGTATTTATTCTTTATAAAATGATATATATTTTAGGAACGTGTATCTAACATTGCGTACAATGATGTGAATGGAATTCGTACACCGGTGAGAGATCAGTCGGCCCCTGTTTACATAATCATCGGTGATGGAGGAAATCTTGAAGGCCTGACTACCAAGTAAGTAAGAAACACACAACATACACAAAATGTAATGTTTTAAATAAATATATGTGAATAGTGCGAGACAACCATATTCAGATCTTAAAGAAACGGAAGGAAGTTTGATATGGTCTTACACTATTCCTTAAATTTCCCATCAAATTGTTAGGTTTAATTTAATGTATCACATATATTTTTTTATTTAAAATATCAAGTTAAACTCGTATTTACATTTACTTAACATCACATACTATTTTAATTCAAAATTTTATGATTATAAAAAAACTTATATTCAAGTTCAAACATTTAGAGAATCGCAATCTAAAAGTTATTTAAGAATTTCATTGTATTCTCACTACTCCAAGTCAATAAGCCGATCCCTGACTATGTTTGTAACTATTATTTGAACTTCTAATACTATGTTTTAATTCTAATTAAAAAATTTATATCATATTTGTTACGCACAAATAATAATAATAATAATAATAATAATAATAATAATAATGGTAGCAGGATCTTAAAGGAAGTTAGGACATGAAGTCGGGCGAAAAATGAGAAAATATGCACTCAGGTCGGTTAGGACACGAAGTCGGGCGAAAAATGAGAAAATATGCACTCAGGTCGGTTAGTCCACGGTCGGTTGGTCCGGTCGGTTGGTCCGCAGTCGGATAAGCAGGTCGGTTGGTCCACGGTCGGTTGGTTCTCGGTCGGATAAGCAGGTCGGTTAGTTCTCGGTCGGATAGGCAGGTCGGTTGGTCCGCGGTCGGATAGGCAGGTCGGAAGGTCCACGGTCGGATAGGCAGGTTGGAAGGTCTGCAGTCGGATAGGCAGGTCGGAAGGTCTGCAGTCGGATGGGATGGTTTGCAGTCGGTTGGTTCGCAGTCGGTTGGTCCGCCATCGATTGAGTCAGTCAATACGGAGTTTGGACCAAGCGAAGGTCTGTTAATTAGTCGCCTAATTGAGTGAACAGTAGTTCAATCGCTTGGTTGGGGTGACCATTGAATTGTCTGGAAAGAAGACTAGAGGGTGGTCGCTTGATGGGGCGACCTAGGAGTCGTTTGGTCTAGCGACCAGTTAGTCTCTGGAATGGTCGATCGGGCCAATTGAGTTCTGGAACTGGTGGAAGCGTTTGGCGAGACGGTTAAATACATGTGTCAATAAAGGAGGAATTAATGGGTAGTTGATGTAACCAACCAGGCGACGGTTCTGAAACGTTTTCTTGAAGGAATATTTAAGGATGCGGATTTTTTTATCTTCAATCATCTTCAATCGACATCAAATTCAAGAGAATTGCTTCTGGGGATCACCACTTTATTTTTCAGTCTTTAGTTTTATTTTTCCTATTTTATTTATGTATTCTAGAGTGTTTAAATTCCTAATCTCATACACTAATTATATCAAATTCGAAGATAATTTTCTATTTTTGATTTTACTTTTTTATTGTTGAAAAAATACATCAACAATATTAAATAATTTTTTTTTATAAACTAATTTCAAATTCTTTTAAAATTCTAAGAGCTTTTATTACAATGGAACCCATGTGTTTTGGACGTAGATTTGAAAATAATTGAATTTTGAATGAAATTGGCATTTAATGTGATATAAATTTAGTTTTTAGAAGTTTTTTTAGATTTATTATTTGTATGAAATTTCCATTTAATGTAATATAAACTTAGTTTTTAGAATTTTTTTAGATTTATTATTTTTTTGTTAAAAATTGCAAAAAATATTTTAATTATTTTATAAAAATTTTATAATTAAAATAATATATTTTTATTAATAAACATTGAAATTGCGTAAAATATGAGAACAGACATTTATGTTTAAATCATTCACTTAGGGCATGTTTGGCAATTAGCTGATAGCTGTTAGTTGTTAGCTGATTCAATTAGTGTTAGCTGATTCAATTAGCTGGTTTGACTAGCTGATTCGATTAGCTGTTTGTATTAAAATATTTGGTAAAAAAATTGTTTCATATTAGCTTTTTATACGTAAAATGATAATTGAGGACATTTCTATTTTATTAGTGTTTCTAATATATTCAATTATGTTGTTTTTAGTTTAGAATATTTAAAATTTTTTGTTATTAGTTATTGAAAATTGTAAAAGTGTTATAAAAATATTTATTTTTATTGCAGTTATATTTAAAAAATAATATATTTTTATTAAAATATATAAATACTTTTTTTATTGAAAATGATGTAAAATATAAAATAATAACTTTTTTTGTGTATATATTTATTATGTTAATTATCAATTAGTTCATTATATTTATAATTTTCAATAAATTTAATTTATTTAATTTATTTTTAGTATAGAATTTATATAATGTCATTTTAATAAAAAAATAAATTATTAATATTTATATTTTTTATTTTATGTTTTTTAATAAATTTATATATTTTACAATTAAAATAATTTTTATATAAAAATTAATTATTTTAAATTTATAAAAGTAAAATTATAATATAATAAAATATTCTAATATAATTAATAAATAATCAAAATATATTTATTTGTGTAAAATGTATAATAAATTTTTAAGGGCATATAAGAAATAAAAAAATTTTTACATAAAAAAACTATTTCAAAACACTGTGTAAGTTAGCTTTTCAGAAATTAGTTTTTTTTTGTCCAAAAAGCTATTCCAAAAAACTAATTTACCAAACACCTAAATTAGCTTTTTCACTGATCAAACAACTAAAACTTGTTCAATAACCTAAAAGCTCTTCGAAAAACTATTTGTCAAATATCCCCTTGATACAAGAATAAATACATCTAAATAGTGGCGGACCCACAAGGGTGCGCTGCAGCCCGCTTTGTCCATCCCCCCGCCCCTACTTCTACCTTTACTTTTATTTTGTTAAGAATTTTTACTTATTTTAATATATATAATAAAATTTCGCAAAAATAGATACAGTTTGATAATTGGATTCAAATTCGGTACAAAAAAATTTGTGTTTGAACTTCATAAAATAGGTTTGAAAATTTTCGGGCTGTGCCGAACCTGGTACGAATTATTATCATTATATTTAGAATTAATATATTTATATACTACATTTGTGTGGCTCTAAGATCTATTAACATTATTTTTAAATATTAATTGCAAAAATACTTTCATTAGTATCTTATAATAAAATTATACGATAGAAACGGAAATTGGGGGTTCAATTCTCACTGCCATCGTTTAATTGATTTTTACTATAATATAATATAAGGAAAAAATGGGATGAATAGTATATTCTAAATCCAATCCCCCAAACAAACACACCCTTAAATCCTAATGAAGGCTGAAATGGTTAATGTCGGCATGACAGAGCCACAGTCGAAATATTCGGTGTTCTGGGAGGCGAGCTTCGGACATGCGACATTCACTATAAAGAACAGGACACACCGGAACCAGGATGGGGTCGCGGTGGAAGCCGACTCCATGTGGTTCTTCAACAAGTACTGACATTTTATTGACATTCCACTACTACCACTACTCCATAATAATAATAATAATAATAATAATAATAATAATAATAATAATACTGATAGTAATTTGTTATAGGGAACTTGTATTTTCTACTGCAGTTGCTATGCTGCTTTGCTTTGTAACGAAGCAGTACAAATTTCTGGATATTTTTTTCAACATATCTAAGTGAAATGCTTATTTCCGACTATTGAAGAATTGTTGTACATGTTTATTTGCATTTTTACAAATTACACATGTTAAACTCTAGTTTAAGTCGCAAACATCCTAGAGATATAATTAATGTAAACTACTATTCAATATTGATGTTCTAGAGCATTGTATCGATGGAAACAATAAACATTAATATGCATGAAGGGAAAAAGCATTTAATTAGAGCAGGAGACGACAAAACGGGGAAACTATCTAATCTATCTAATGCAGTCAATCATTCATAATGTAATCGCATATGCATCATGAGGTTCTGGAAAAAGAATTAATTATCTGAATTCAAATTGCCAATTATTACAAAATTTAACACATTTATTTAAAAAACAAAAATATTCGATTGTTGCTCTAAAGATATTCAATAATTAATCAGAATCATAGGAATGAGTACTATTAATAGATTAGACCACACACTAAAACATATATAACACATTTCGCCGAAGCCTTTCTTCCTATTCCTATCCACACAAAAGCACTTGCATAACTTACTTACCAATCAAGCAAATTATCTTACCTATGAGAACATATATATATATATATATATATTGAGGTTAAAAACAATTAAAATCCATACTTGCAAGTGTCAATCAACCGAAAAATCAATATATCCCTTTTGCTTAATTGGTGTGCTTTGGAAAAATAAAATACTTACAATCGATAGGTCGACCACAAAAAATCAAAACCCCATTGAACTTACAATGTACACTCATTTCCAATGTTGAATTAAGTACAAACAATGACTATGATCCCATAAAATTACAACTTGTTACCAACTAGCTAAGAAAATGCCTCAAGAACATAATTATCTTCCGGTGCATCAATCCAAACAGCTTCTTTCCGATGTTGAATTAAGTACAAACAATGACTGTGATCCCACAAAATTACAAATTGTTACCTACTAGCTAAGAAGATCCCTCATGAACAGAATCATCTTACGGTGGATCAATCCAAACAGCTTCCTGGGGTTCCTCGAGGCAATACTTGAGGTCCGTCCGAGAAAAAGGCTCATCCGTCCTAGCATGTTATCCTTTTTTCTTTTTAATTGGATGAGTCAATCCGTAGGGTTTACGAAAATTGTTAGCCCTCCTAAATCTGTCACCATCAACACAGGTCCGAACAAGAAAGATGTCTCCTCCCCAAATCCAGCGTCGATTGGTCCACTCAGATGAATGAAGAAATTTGATAGCGCTAATCCTGTCAGTATTCGATCGAGATGGCAATTTCGGGACCTGCAGAAAGCGTAAATTGACCATAAAAATCGAAACCGCCATTTTGAACCGAATCAAAGTGAACTTTGAGCAAGGTGAGAAACCAATAGTTTTTCTGGTTGGACATAAGCCTTGACTCAAGCCGAGACAGGGCGGTCGTTCACTCGAATCCCTATTTATCGTGCGCCTGCTTGAAAAAGTTCGCTTCGAGGACACCTGAAAGATGACCACTGTTAACATGACTGACGATAAAATGTGTTTCGGCCCAACGATAGGGTTGGACAGCGTACCGATGACTCCTCTGCCGTGGCTTCCAGCTGGGTTCCAAACCCTCCAGAAAGGCTGTAAGAAAAATCGAAAACATCAGGCTGGTGTAAGTAGAGTTCAAAGTCGTAAATGGATCGTAACAGGGAGAGATATGGCGCAGCGAACGAACCTTGATAAGGCGGTTCTTGTGTTATACGTTGAAGCCTTGTCGTCGATATGGTGTTTCGAGTCTTTGATGAATCCAATCATCCCCGTCGCAGACATCTGCGTTGATGCAAGGAAATCGAACAAGAAAAGATGTGAAATTGGGGGACATATGTACAAAAACAAACACAACAAATGCGCTTACATTCGGATCTTTCAACGCTGCTGGTTTATAATGCATCTCTTGGGGGTAAATCATATCGTCGATTATATCGTGATGCTGAACATCGATGCCCCGTAAGACAATGCGAAATCCAGGTGGAATCGCATATACTTCTGCATTCTCTATCTGGCTCTCGTCTCGGCTGGCTCCTCGAATTTGTATGTCCTATTCAACAAGCAAATGCACAGATACAAAATTCAAAGATAAACGATGAAGATTTAGTTGACGAGCAGAGCTTAGAAACAAAACATGTTCAACTGTGTCGAAATCCAAATCAGGTGATCCCTCTTCGTCGTCTTCCCAGAGATTGTAGATTATGATCCGCGTTCCTTGTTCATCCAAGAAATCGAACTGCAGAGGAGAAAACGATAAATTTGTTTGTATCGACGATCATCTAGGAATAGTATCTGTTCTTAGTCATCGATTCAAAAGCTACCTGACAAAGGATATCTTCGTAGTTGTCGAACGGCGACCACTGCTCAATCCAAGTCCTTTCCCTTCCCTCATAATTGATGGTGGAGTTTGATAAGTACAGGATCCAATTAGTACTGCACGATTGATTGATGCATTATAGTTTTTCATTACAGTAAAGGTACTTGCTTTAAATTCTTAATCAATTTTACATAACTTACCTTCGCATAGTATTTGATTTATCATCAGCAAAATCAACACCTATTTCGTAGCATCCATCGCCCAACAATAGATTCTCAATTCTCAGCCACAGCTTAGTATTCTTATGTTATAAATTGTGGTACCAAAATCTCATTTTATCTTTCTCATATCATCTCTCATATTTCCAAGTAAAGCAACAAAACAAATAAACAAAAATCAAGCAATCAACCTGAAAGAAAAACAAGAAAAAAAAAAGAGAAAAAAACCTCAAAATCATCCCAGGCCAACAAAAAAAACCCCTTATCAAAGCAGAAACCCTAATCTAAACAAGAACAATAGCTGTGCCGTCTGTGGAAATATACAATAACCCTAATCCCACAGTTGAAGATTTATATAGTATACAATGGATCGTTCTAGAAGGTTTTAACATATTTTTATTCATTTAATTATATTTTTATTTTATTTTAGAATTTTTTACAAAATTTTAAATAGAATTTTTTTAATGGGCCAACCGCACCCATTTTTTTTCCTTGTGCTATTTTTATAGTGGAGATGGTTATAGAATCGTTGTATATATTTATATTATTGATTAATATTTTAAATTTATTTTAGTATTTTCTATAATTTTTTTTATATTATCGGAAATAGTTAATCTTTTACGATTGAATATATGATGTATATTTATAAATATATTTCTTTATGTATTTTATTAATTAATTTATTAAGTTTATTTTGCAAATTTTTAATTTTATAAATATTTTTTATATTCATTTTATATATTACTTTATTTTTATAATTAATGCATTTTTATGTCTTTTTTTATATTAAATCAAAAAATTACGATTCAACCCGCATGTTCAAAATAAAAAAATTATATTATTCTCGTATAAAATATCAATCAAATATAATTTAAATTAAAACTCAAACAAAAAAACTCGATTTCGATAATTCTATCATAATCACATGAATAGTACTATAGTTGATCAAATTACATATACAAACATAACTAACATATTTTGCCACAAATTTCCTTCCTATATCCACATAAAATTAGCACTTGCAAAATTGAGCCATAACTACATAAAATCAGGATTTGTTCTTCCAACAATTTTTTTAAACATGATTCTGAATATATAAAATATTTATATTTTATAATTTCACAAAATATCAACATTCAATATAAAATTATATTTTTATATTACTTATACAATTATCTATATATCATATAAAAAATATATCTCAAATCAAAACACAAAATAAACAAACCCCTAAGTACACACTAGATGTATAATAAACCAATTAAATAAGAAAGTAGTACTATACAGCCTACAGGAATGACTCAAAACTATGTACAGTAGCATAGAATATACAATAATACCATATACTCCCTCCGTCCCGTTGGAATAATGGCGTTTGCTTTTTGTACATAGATTTTTTAATATTAATATTATATTGGATTGTAGTAAAAAAGATAAAAATACTCCTATTAATATGGTCTAATACAAAAGTAATGGCATTTGTGTAATATTTTATAAATTGAAAGGGTGTTTATTATGTTAAGTACATAGTATAATTACTAAATTAAGAAATGGTAACATTGTTTTGGGACGGACGAAAATGAAAAATGGTAACCTTTCAATGGGACATGAAGTATATGAGAAAAAAGAAAAAGATTTTAAATCAAAAGCTTTTTTGGAAATAATAAGTTGTTATACTGCTCCTTTTTAGAATTAAACAAGTTTTCAAAGAAAAAAAAATCAGAAATATTTGCACTTACTTTCAATCATTGCCTTTAACATTTGTTCCCCTTATCAATTCACTGATTTTTATAGTGTTACGCTGATGGTTTTAGAACATTGAATACATATGATTTTTATTTATTTATTTATATTTTCAATTTATCTAGATGGTCATTTTCTTTTTATATAGATCGAGGGGGTTTGCAAAACAAGTTTTCAAATAGTTTTTAGCAATTTGAAAGAAATTTTGGTTGTTTAACCAGTAAAAAAATTAATTCAACTATTTGTTAAATTAGCTTTTTGATATATGTTATTGACCTAAAAGCTAATTTTTAAAAGCTATCCTACTAGCTTTTCAAAATATTATTTTTACTCTAATTTTATTTATTTATATTTGTCTTTAAAATTAATTATTTTTTTTACACAAATATCAATATATATTTATTTTATTCGTAAAATATGTTAATTTTCTAAATTAAGTATTTCTATGTATTTTTTATTATATAAATTTTATATTAAAAATAAATTAAATAGATCAAATTTATTGGAAAGTGTAATAATAAATAAATTAATAATTAACATAATTAAAATATATATACTTAAAAATTTGGTTTTCTATATTTGACTCAAACATTAATTACAGTAGTAGAAAGAAGAATGTCGGTACTTTTGAAGTATAAATAATCAATACAGTAATTAACTGTACCCGAATCCATAACTTCGAAAAAGTCCTAATTACGAAATAATTTCTAATTACTGAACAATAGCAATAGTCCAACCGCATTAGAGAATATATTAACTCTAATAAAAAATGGAGTTTTTTTTTATGTCTCTTAAAAACAAAGTAAATATAAAAATAAAATAAAAAAAATTGAAATGTTTACACCTACTATACTAGGTTTTCAGCTTTGTCAGGTCAAAAATTTTTATAATATTAGATAGATGGTTCTATAATATTGAATATATATATATATATATATATTTTATTTATATTTTAAATTTATTTTAGACTTTTCTTATTTTTTTATATTATCTAAAGTAGTTAACCTCTTATATTTTAATATATTTATTCTCAATATATTTATAAAGACATTTCTTTATATATTATTAATTACTTTATTAGTTTGTTTTATATATTTGTATTTCATTAAATATTTTTATATTCATTATATATATTATTTTATTTTTTATAATTAATATATTTTATTTGTGCTTGTTTTTTTATTTCAAATGAACAAGTTACGATTTAGTCTGCACTTTGAAAAAAGAAATATATTATTTACTTTTACAAAATATCACATGAACTACTATTTAAATCAAAATACAAATAATAAATTATACTCAAGATAAGTACTATATATCGATAAAATCATACACTCAAACATAACTAATACATTTTGCTACAGCCTTCCTATATCCATACGAAATTAGCACTTGCAAAGTTAACACTACATACATAAAATCTAATTACACACTATAAACATAATAGACCAATTAAATAACAAAGTAGTACAAGATATGATTCATATCAAGAAACAATCGACTGGACTATGTAGATATATGTTGATTCATACCCAGAGCCAGTGGCGGAGTCATAGTTTTTTTTTTTTTTGGCGTGGGCCGAATTTTTTTTATATAAATAATATATAATAATTTTAAAATTATATAATCTAATAATTTTTTAAAAAAAATTACAAACAAATTTTAGTTTGTTTTATTTTTTATTTTTTTTTACAAATATTTCCAACTCTTTAGTGTATTTAAACCAATTTTTTAAGTATTATAGTTAAATATAAATAATAATAATATTTTTATTAAATCTATAAGGATGGCCAATTCTTTAAATTTTAAAAATTATGCAAATATTAGATAATAAGAATACAAAACTCAAATGCTTAGGGGGGTCAACCTTCGGCCCCCTCCCCCTACTAGCTCCGCCACGGGCGGATGTATATTGGGGCAAGGGGGGCTCCAGCCCCCTCCCCCACTCCACCTCCTTATAATTTTTAATTTTTTTATTTTATTTTATAATATATAATATAAAAAATAATAAATAAATTAAAAAATTGTAAAAAGTTGATAGAATATTTATGTAAAAATTTAAATTTTGAATAATAAAAAAATTTATATTATAATAATTATTTGTTAATATAAAAATAAATATGAATAAAAAAGTAATAAATAATAATTAAAAAAAAATCTTTAAAAATTTCTCAACCAAATACACCAGAAATGATATTTTTAACAGTTTTTTTTTTAATAAATGTTTTTATTATTTATCAATTTCATATAATACAAAATTCATCTTGTAATATGTAGTTGTCAATATAGATTGATATTTTGTAAGATTTTCGAAATATGATAACTCCATTGATAAAATTATTAGATAAAAGTAGATGATGATCGTTTCAAAATTTTAAAAATTAGCCCCCCCTTTCATCCTGGTCTGATTCCACCTCTGGCTCCGCCCATGCCCAAAGCCAACATATGTTCACTCTATTAATGAAGAAATATGCTCGCCACCCTTAGTAGTTTATACACAATCCTAGTTTATACTATTTTTCCTGAGCGTCTAAGTAATCGAATCTACTGCATTAATCAGAATTGGAAACCATAATCACAAAACAAGGGCAATTTTGCAGCAGCAAGAGACTAGATAAGAGCATTTGAAGAAGAAAGATGGTAGGGCATTTAATCAGTGTGTCAATCTTATGATTTTATTATCTAGGAAAACTGCACTGTCAATCTCAGTGTTTTTAGCAGGTACTCTTGCCATGCCGGAAGTAGCATACCTTTTGGTGGGTCCTTTCTTCATTTGGGAACTAAGATTTGATGCATATGATTTCTTTTGG